AATGGTTTAAAATTAAGAAAGGTGTGCGACAAAGTTGTATTCTTTCACCATACTTATTCAACCTGTATGCTGAGCAAATAATCTGAGAAGCTGTGTTCTATGAAGAAAAACGTGGCATCAGGATTGGAGGAAGACTCATTAAGAACCTGCGATATGCAGATGATATAACCTTGCTTGCTGAAAGTGAAGAGGACTTAAAACATTTACTGATGGATATCAAAGACCATTGGATTGCAACTCAATGTAAAGAAAATAAAAATCCTCACCACTGGACTAATAAACAACATTCTGATCAATGGAGAAAAGATCGAAGTTGTCAAGGACTTCATTCTTCTTGGATCTACTATTAACACTCAAGGAAGCAGCAGTCAGGAAATCAAATGACGTATTGCATTAGGCAAATCTGCTGCACAAGACCTTTTTATAGTGTTGAAAAGCAAAGATGTCAGCTTGAGGACTAAGGTGTGCCTGACCCAAGCCATGGTATTTTCAATCACCTCATATGCATCCAAAAGCTGTACAGTGAATAAGGAAGACCGTAGAAGAATTGATGCTTTTGAGTTATGGTGTTGGAAGAGAATATTGAAAGTGCCATGGACTGCCAAAAGAACCAGTAGATCCATTTTGGAAGAAATGCAGCCAGAGTGTTCCCTGGAGGCCAAGATGGCCAAACTTTGTCTCTCATACATCAGACATATTGTCAGGAGGGACCAATCACTGGAGAAGGATATCATGTTTGGTAAGGTGGAGGGTCAGAGCAAAAGAGGAAGACCCTCAAAGTGATGGATTGCCAAGTGGCAGCATCGATGGACTCAACTGTGGCAACTGTAATGAGGATGACCCAGGATCAGGCAGTGTTTTGTTCTGCTGTGCATAAGGTTACTCTGGGTTGGTAATGACTGGATGGCCCCTAACAACAACAACAACAATTCCAAAACTGCTGCAACAGTATATTGACAGAGGGTCAAGCCAGATTCAGAATGGGACATGGAACTAGGGATATTGCTGGCATCAAATTGATATTGGCTGAAATCAGAGAATATAAAAAATATATTGACATGTACTTTATTGACTATGCAAAAAATTATGAGCAAGTGGATCATGACAAGCTATGGATAACATGTGGAAGAACTGGCATACCAGAACACTTGATTGTGCGAATGACCAACCTGTATATAGAACAAGAGGTAGTTATTCCAATAGAACAAGGGGAAATGGAATGTTATAAAATTAGGAAAAGTGTGCTCAAGGGTTGTAGTCTTTCACCATACCAAATCATCTGTACACTGAACAAATAATTGAAAAAGTTGGTTTATGTGAAGAAGAATGTGGCATCATGATTGGAGGAAGACTCATTACTAACCAGCAACTTAAAATACTTACTGAGGAAGATCAAAGACCACAACCTTCAGTATGGACTGTACCTCAATGTAAAGAAAACAAAAATCCTCACAACTAGACCAATAGATAACATCATAATAAATGGAGAAAAGATTGAAGTTGTCAAAGACTTCATTTTGCTGGGATCCACAATCAATACTCATGGAAGCAGCAGTGTTGATATCAAATGATGTATTGGCATTAGGGAAATCTGTTGCCCAAGACCTCTTGAAAGTGTTTCCATTTATAGGATCTCTCTATAAGTTTTCTAAGGAACAGCTTCATTTGCTCTTCAAAAATTTTAGCACTATTCTAGGAACACAGTGAATACTCCCAAGTGTGATGCTAACTGAGTGTTACCTTTGTTAAAAATTAATGAAAATAGAGAAGAACAAAAGATACGTCTCGAATGGAAGACCTACAGGAAAAACACGACATAATGGAGACAGATGGACTGCTACTATGGGAACAAATGGGTCGCTCCCCTAGGAGACATTGGGGCAGTCGGTCAGGTCCCACCAACATAGCCTCCCCCCCGCCCAAACTGAGACTCGGTGGAAATGCATGCTCAGATTGGTAAACACACGCATCACCGTTGGGGAGAAATGGGGTAAAGGCAGCAATGAAGTGGTGAGCTAAGCCTCACAATATTCAGAGGGCTTCTGTGGACCCGGTTGGGGACCTGGTTGGCAAGCAGTGCGAGGAGACCTGAGGACTCCTGGGCCCAGAGTCAGTGACGTGGCCACAGAGGACTCAAGTGGAGAATGGAGCTGCCGGCTGATGGCAAGAGAGGGCATGTGCACAAGAACACCCACACTTGCAGATGACACCCATGTGACCTGGACTGGACAACTGGATGATCAGAGCTCAACCAGAAGAAGAAAGAAGGGTTGGGGGGAAGAAGATTGAGCTGATCCAAGCTGATGAACTTGACCTATGCATACGAATCCAGTGACACAAAAGAGGCAACAAATCCTTACAGCAAGAAACATTCCCACCCCCTCCACACACAGAGTAGACAGAGAGGGGCAACTTGGACATTGGATACCCAAATGGGGAGGGAGGGACTACAAAGGCAAGAAGTAACTGGCTTACAAGCTTTCAAGAGGGAACCTAGAGCTAGGGGGCATGGAGGAAGGCAGAATCACCAGTGAGTACTATCCAATTTGTCTAGGTGGAGCTGATGAAATGAAATACAGATGGGTTACGCGCGATACTGTAGTGAATAATGGTTACCAAGATGGATTGTGAGTGTTGGAAATGCAAGGGTAGATGTTTTGTAGCAAGGAAGAGAGTGATTATTTCTCCAGTCTAGGAGCGGTGGGCTCTGGGACCACCAACGGATAAGAGCCGAGAACAGGACCCCACCCAGAGAACCGGGGATACCTGAGATGGAGACAGAGATGATGACATGGAGGGATGAAGCGGCTGGGAACTTTGGATCCAGAGAGGGAGAGGAACTGTGGGCCGAAGACTGAGGGGAGAGGGGGGAGTGTAGAGCACGGGCTTCTAGGATATGCCCTTTGGTCGGAAGATGATGCATGGAGGGCATTGGAACCATGGCAATGTAATGATATACGATGGAATGAATATGGAACTGAGGTTCTCTCATGTAAACTATCATATAATTCACAATAAAACATTTTTAAAAAATCAATGAAAATAACCACAATAAATCTTTACATACAGTCTTTACAAAGCTCTAGGTATAAAGCTTTGGTAGCATGGTTACGAGTCAGGTGCTAACCTCACGGTCAGCACTTTGAAACTATCAGCCATTCCATGGGAGAAAGATAAGGCTTTCTACTCCTGTAAAGATTTATAGCCTTGGAAATCCCAAGCAGGGTTGCTATGAATCAGAACCGACTCCATGACACACCACCACCATGTAATGGCACATCACAAACAGTTCAGCATATTATTTTAGTATTTGTCTTACCATGTTGCATTTTATGTTTCGATTTATTTCAGATGCAAGACTAACTCTGAGAAAATACATTGCTAAGGTCAGTGCAACCATTACAGATCTAGAAAAGGGACCAGGGAAACTTCTTAAGGAAGACAAGGTACTGTGTTATGCTTTTGCTTATTCTGATGTATTAAATGATGTATTCTGAAAATGTTGCTACACTAGTTCTCAAAAGATAGGTAGCGGTCCTCCCTCCTTCCCTTGCTTTTTCTAGCTTTTAATGGAAGCACGTAAAGCATTTCTCCATTTAATATATTTACTGTTAATTTCTGATGAGCATTACTTATAGTGTTTGAGAAATTTCCTTCTACTATTTTAAGGTGTTAAATGTTAACAAAATTTAGGAATAACAGCTAATAACTGTAGCCCATGTCTTCGTTATCTAGTGGTGCTACAACAAAAGTATGTCAAGTAGATGGCTTTAAGAAACAGAAGTTTATTTTCTCCTAATTTAGGAGACTAGAAGTCCAAATTCAGGGTGCAGGGTCTAGGAGAAGGCATTCTTTCTCTTTTGGCTCTGGAGGAAGATCCTTGTTTCCTTGTGTTTCTGCTCCTGGGACTTCCTCCTTCTCTGTTTCTCTCCCTTTTTGTTGAATCTTTTTTATATCTCAACGACTGATTTAAGACACACCCTATACCCCTTAGCATAGCAAAGACAACCCATTTCCAAATGGGATTATAACCATAGGTATGGAAGTTAGGATTTATAACACATCTTTTTGAGGGATACAATTCAATCCCTGATACTCCATAAACATTTTTTTGAGCACTTAATTAACACATTTCAGGTGCTATTTGTAAATACTTTACCTGTATTAATTCATGCACTCCTCATAATAAGTCTATGAGACTGTTGCTGTTAAGTGTCATCATGTCATTTCCGACTCACAGCAACCCTGTATAGGGTTTCCAAGGAGCGGCTGATGGGTTTGAACTGCCAACTTTGTGGTTAGCAGTCCAATGCTTATCCTCCAGCGCCATCCCAGGACTCCAACCCTATGAGGTAGGTACTGATATTGTCTCCTTTTTTCAGACAAGGAACACGATGCTCAGAGAGATTAAGAAGTTTCCCCAAGTCACATGGTTCTCAAGTGACAGAATTAGGATTTGAATTTTGACTCAGCATGTACTATGGAATAACTGCTGAATTGTACTGAAGTTTTTAAGATGCCTGTCATTGCTATCATATGAGTTTTTCCTTTTTCTTATTAGAATTATTATATAGCTAGATGTTCTGATGTTGTACTAGCTCTGCATTTCTGAAATGAATTCTGACCCATCAAGATATATATATATTTTTTAATATATATACTATGTGGATTCCTACTGTTTCATGTATAGATTTCCTTTGAATGCAATAGGTCTGCATTCCTTTTTGTAGGCTAAGCATTAGACTGTGAACCACAAGGTTGGTGATGCAAACCCACCAGCTGTTCCTAGGAAACCCTGTACGTGGTCGCTATGAGTTGAAATTGACACGATGGTACTTAACAAATACTGTCAGAGGTGGTTGGAAGGTGAAAATGGTCAAGCACTCGACTAATCACCAAAAGGTTGTTGCCTCAAACCCATTCTGAAAGATGTATATTTAAGTCCTCTACTATGATTATGTGGAGTCCTGATGTGGCACCGTGGGATAAAGCACTGGACCACAAGGTCAGTTTGAACCACAAGGCTGGTGGTTAAAACTCACCATCCACTCCTTGGAAACCCTACACTGGGTCACTATGAGTCAGAGCTGACTCGAAGGCACTTAACAACAACAACTATGATTATGCATCTTTCAGAATTTGGTAAAGTAAATGAAAAATTAATAAGACAGTAGAGGATTTGAATATGTATTTAATAAGCTCAGTTTTATAGAACTATGTATTTTATAAATAGATTATGGACAGTTTTCAGTTTTTCCATAAAACATTTGTCAAAAAATTGATTTTCTTGGCCACACTAAAAATATAATAAATTTCAAAAATTGAGATTTATAGGTCATATTGGCTGACAAAAATTTAATGAAATTAGAAGTTACTGACAACAAAGTGACCACCTGGAAGTAACATAGAACCATCAATAGAACCCTAAGATCAAAAAGTAAAAATTAATATGAAAGATGTATACTAAGTATAGAGTCCTAGTGTGGCGCTGTGGGATAAAGCACAGGACAGAAAGGTTGGTTTGAACCACAAGGTTGGTGGTTTAAGCTCACCAGGCACTCATTGGAAACCCAGGGCCACTATGAGTCGGCACTGACTCAGCAGCACTTAACAACAACAACAATTTATTAAGTATATTAACTCCTCTACTATGATTATTGGATTCCTGGTGCGGTGCTGTAGGATTAGCTAGACTTCAAACTACAAGATCGACAGTTCAAGGCCACCAGCTGCTCCTTGGAAACCCAATGTTAGGTTGCTATGGGTTAGAACTGTCTTGATGGCACTTAACAATAACTATGATTATACTTTTAGAAAGTATTCTTATTTTTGGAATTTCTTCTTCTATTTATTTAATCTTCCTATTCAACAAGTACTTTCTCTGAATTCTGGTTATATGTTGACCCCATTTCTGTAATGAAAATTTCAGTTATATACTCTTTGCATTTAAGTGGTGCAACACGGCGTGGGGGTCATGCCAGACCTCCTCCAACTTCACAAGGGGGAGGGAGAATCAAAATCAAAATCATCCCAAGGACGATTCCTATGATGTAGGAATCAGACATACATCTACTCTCTGACTTTCTTGATCCTGTTTTGACACCAACCATCCCTCCCAAGGCATTCTACCTCTCTGCTGGATTCAATAATCCATTGTAATCACCATACAGACTATACTCAAAATTGTTGTTTTTGTTGTTGTTATGGAAGTGAAGAGGGTATATAATTCAGGATATAGCATCTCTTAGTTGTTTCTGATCCTGAATTGTATCATGGTAGAAGAGCCATCATTCACTATTCACCGTACTACAGATGCTGAAGGGAAGGCTAAGCTGTATCTGAGATCTTCAGTTTTTATGTTCTGCCAATAATTATTTTTCAACTGTCTTGAGTTTCCCTACCTTAAATGTAGTAACAATTCTTGGTAAAACCTATCACCTAATCAACCAAACACAGGTAAGCCTGCAGAAAGAGCTTAATTCTCTATATAGTCACCATTATTTCATCTTCCTCCTGTCACTAAGTATAGATTAATGGTTTCTCACTGCAGAAAATCCATTCCTCATAAGCACAGAAATCCTTAAATATTAATGATCATAAGTGAATAAGATCACCTAGCTTAGAAGTCAGTATCTTGAAATGGAAAGAACATTTGTTTAGGAGGCAGAAATTGAGATTATAGTCTTAGCTCTGCTTTGATCAGAATGACCAATTGTTTAACCTCTCATATTTTCAAATTTTTAAAAAATTTCAAAGTAGTCAGAAATAATACTCCCAAAGGCAGTAATGTAACTCTTCTTTCCTCTTTTGTTTTTTCTCTTAATGTCAGTCTCTGAGCCTTTCATTCTCTCAGGCTCTTTCTCCCTATTGGTGGTGAGGAAGACTTGGGAAGAGAATTGGAAAGTCTGTATTAGACAAAAGAGAACCAACCTGGACTTGGAGGCGGGAGGAAATGAACTTTTCAGTTTTCCAAATTTGTCCTTGTTTCTTGAATCAGACTTTAGCTAACTACTGTGCATGCACAATGAGATGGTTTTACAATGCAATTGAAGAGATTTTCAGTGAGGCGGAGTTCTTCTTGCATTTCTTGTACTTCTTTCTCCTGTGAACCACCCGAGAGGGAATAAAATATTCAGAATCGATGCTGTGTGCTGACTTGTATGCAGCTCATACCATCCACCTCTTTTCCAGCCTTTTATGTAAGCACTTACCTTTATTACAGGGTTCAGTGACAATAAAGAATTAGGCAAATAGCATAGACTGGCTCAGGCTTTATGAGTCTAGATGAGGAGAAGGTTTATTATACTCATATTCCACTAATGTTAGAGTTGCACTGTCTAATAGAGTAGCCACTGGTCACATGTGCTATTTAAATTGGAATTAATCTGCGGCTATTTAAAGTGGAATTAATTCAACTGAAATAAAATTTTAAATCCAGTTCCTTGTCATTTAGTGACATTTCAAGTATTCAGTAGCTACAAGTGGCTCATGGCTATAGCATAGAACAGTGCAGATATAGAACATTTCCATCATCACAGAATTTTTGATTGGACAGTGCTTATTTAAGAGAATCTAAAGAGTTTTATTTTTCAGTAAAATAAGTAAAAAGTAAAAATTTACTTTGTCCCTAGAATATCATCCTCAATGCATGCCGCACAAAAAGTGAGTGGTTGGAGACCCATCTGGAAGCTTCCGTTAATGAACTTTTGGAACAGAAACAACAATTGGAAGATATTGTGACTCCTATTGTCACAAAAATATGTGCCCCACGTAAGTTTTGGATAAAAAGTAGTTTGAATGTCAGAGAAGATGATAATTAGGTTCAACCCTGTTATTTCTGAGAAAGTCTGATTTTAATCATCTCTGATTGGTGCTGTAAGATCAGCACTGGACTGCAAACCACAGGTTGGCACTCAAACCCACCAACTGCACCTTGGAAACCCTATACTGGCTCACTATAAGTTGGAACCGACTCAAGGGCACTTAACAAACAATGAAAATGTTATTAAGGAGTCCTGATGTGGTACTGTAAGGTAAGTACTGAACCACAAGGTTGGCAGTTTTGACCCACAAGCCACTCCTCGGAAACCTTGTTTGGGGCTGTTATGAGCTGGAACTGATTCAATGGCACTTAATGACAACAATATTACTAAGTAATCATTAACATTGTGCCCTTCTCCAGGTACTGGTTCCTCCTGATAATAGGTCTGAAGTATAAGAGATGAAGTCTGGCCATCCTGACTCCCAAGGAGCATTCTGGGTGTATTTCTTCCAAGACAGATTTGCTTGTTCTTTTGGTATTCCATGGTACTTTCAATATTCTCCTCCAATACCATAACTCAAATGCATCAATTCTTCTATGATTTTCCTCATTCATTGTCCAACTTTCACATGCATATGAGGTTATTGAAAATGCCATGGCTTGGGTCAGGCGCACCTTGGTCCTCAAGCTGACATCTTTGCTTTTCAACACTTAAAGAGGTCCTGTGCAACAGATTTGCCTAATGCAATACGCCACTTGATACCTTGACTGCTGCTTCCATGAGTGTTGCTTGATTCAAGCAAAATGAAGTGTTTGACAACTTCAATCTTTTCTCCATTTATATGGATGTTGTTTATTCCTCTAGTGGTTGAGGATTTTTGTTTTCTTTACATTGAGATGTAACCAATACCTAATGCTGTGTGGTCTTCGATCTTCATCAGTAAGTATTTTAAGTCCTCTTTGCTTTCAGCAAGCCAGTTTGGATCATCTGTGTATGGCAGGTTTCTGAGTCTTCCTCCATTCCTAATGCCACGTTTTTCTTCGTGTAATCCAGTTTCTTGGATTATTTGTTCAGCATACAGATCAAATAAATATAGTGAAAGAATCTGGCACACACCTTTCCTAATTTTAAACCATTCAGTGTTCCCTTGTTCTTTTCAAAGAACTGCCTCTTGGTCTATGTACAAGTTCTTCACGAGCACAAGTGTTCCAGAATACTCATTTTCCACAATGTTGTCCATAATTTGTCATGATTCACACAGTTGAAAGACTTCGTGTATTCAACGAATCAGAGGTATTCTCTGCTTTCAGCCAATATCCATCTGATGTCAGCAATGATATCCTTTGTTCCATCTCCTCTTCTGAATCCAACTTGAAGACTGGAAGATCTCTGTCCATTTTTGAATTATTTTTAGTAAAATTTTACTTGCATGTGATATTAATGATATTGTGCAGTGATTTCTGCATTCCACTGGGTCATCTCTCTTTGGAATGGGCTCAGATATGTATCTCTTCCAGTCAGTTGGCCAGGTAGTTGTCCAAATTTCTCGGCATAGATGAGTGAGTGCCTCCAGTGCTGCATCAGTTTGTTGAAAGATTTCAATTTCTATTCCATCAATTCCTGGCATCTTGTTCTTTGCCAGTGCCTTCAACGCACCCTGGACTTCTTCCTTCAGTATCATTGTTGTTGTTGTTGTTAAGTGCCGTCGAGTCGGTTCCGACCCATAGCAACCCTGTACAGGGTTTCCGAGGGTGTAAATCTTTACGGGAGTAGAAAGCCTCATCTTTCTCCCGCGGAGCGGCTGGTAGTTTCGAACCGCTGACCTTAAGGTCCGCAGCCCGATTCGTAACTACTACACTACCAGAGCTCCTTGTCATTAGCTACTGATTATATGCTGCCTCTTGAAATGGCTGAACATCCACCCTTTATTTTTGGTACAGTGATTCTGTATTCCTTCGATCTTCTTTCCTGTTTTCTGCATCATTCAATATTTTGCCCATAGAATTCTTCAATATTTCATATTGAAGCTTGAATTTTTTCTTCGGTTCCCTAAGCTTGACAAATGCTGAGAGTGTTCTTTTCTTCTAGTTTTCTAAATCCAGGTATTTGTACATTTCGTTATTACATTTGACCTTGTCTTCTTGAGCTGCCATTTGAAAATTTCTATTGAGCTCTTTTTCTTTTTTTAACCTTTTTATTGTGAATTGAGTGAAAGTTTACAGAGCAGATCATCAGTTTCACATTCAATAAATCATATACTCTGCTTCATTATATGGTTGCAACCCTCTGCATGTACCAACAGTTAACAGCATTTACTTCTGTTCACTCCAACGACTGCATTCTTCTCTGTGTCTCCCGCCACCCCCATCTTTCCTTTGTTAACCTTCCTCCAGTTGTATATTACCTGCCCTGTCACCCATGTCAATGTGTGTCTACCCTCTAGCGCATGCATTTTAAAAAACCACACAGGGATATATAATCATTTAAACAACCATAGGGCATTTTCTGAAAAGTCAGTCTCCTGGCCACCAGCACACAGCATCTCTACGCTGGAGAGCAAGTTCAGTGTCTCTTCTGACATCCATTTTGATATTTTCCTTCTTTTTTTGTCTTAATGACCCTTTGCTTTCTTCTTGTATGATGTTCTTGATGTCATCCCACAACTCTTCTGGTCTTTGGTCTTTAGTGTCTAATACATTAAATCTGTTCTTCAGATGCTCTCTAAATTCCGGTGTGATATGTTCAAGGTCATATTTTGGCTCTTGTGGGCTTGTTTTAGTTTTCTTCAGCTTCTCCCTGAACTTGCATATGAGCAATTGATGGTCTGTCCCAGTCTGCCCCTGGTCTTGTTTTGGCTGATGATAGGGGAGTGTTTCTACAGTCTGTCTCCACAGATGTAGTCAATTTGATTTCTGTGTATTCCATCTGGTGAGGTCTATGTGTATAGTGTCTTTTACATTGTTTATAAAAGGTATTTACAATGAAAAAAAATTGGTTTTGAAAAATTCTGTCATACAATCTCTAGCACCGTTTCTATCACCAAGGCCATATTTTCCAACTGCTGATCCTTCTTTGTTTCCAACCTTTGCATTCCAATCACTAGTAATTACCAATACATCTTGATTGCATGTTTGAGCAATTTCAGACTGAAGAAGTTGATAAAATTCTTCAAATTCATCATCACTGGCATTAGTGGTTGGTGCATAAATTTGAATAATAGTGGTATTAACTAGGCTTCCTTGTAGGCATACAGATATTATCCTATCACAAACAGTGTTGTACTTCAAGACAGATCTTGATATGTCCTTTTTGATGATAAATGCGATGACATTCCTCTTCAATTTTTCATTCCAAGCATAGAAAACCATGTGATTGTGAGATTCAAAATTGCCAGTACCACTTCATTTCAGCTCACTACTGCCTAAGATATTGTTGATTATGCAGTCCATTTAATTTTTGACAATTTCTTATTTTCCTAGATTCATGCATCATACATTCCATGTTCTGATTATTAATGGACGTTTACAGTTATTTCTCTTTATTTTGAGTTTACGTCATTAGCACATGAAGGTCCCAAAGGCTTTACTCCATTCATGCCATCACGGTCAGCTGTACTCTGAGGAGGCAGTTCTTACCCAGGTGTAATTTGAGTGCCTTCCAACCTGAGGAGCTCATCCTCCAACACTATATCTGACAATATTCTGCTGTTCTTCATCATGTGTCAATATTTAAATTTCTAACGCTGATAGTGCTCCCTTGCTAGTCATGAAGTTTTCAGTTACTAAATATTTAGAAGTAGTCTGTTTCTCCTTCCTAGTCTGTCTTTGGAAACTCAGGTGAAACCTGCTCACCATTGGTGACCCTGCTGATATTTAAAATACCCATAGCATAGCTTCCAGAATCAAAGCAACAAACAAGCCACCATAGTACAACAAAGTGACAGACAAGCTCCAATTCAGTGACTCAGTATAGGGTTTCTGAGGATCCACTCGTGGCTTTGAACACGGACCTTGGTGTTAGCCGTCTAGTGCTTATCCTACACCACCACATCAGAATCCTGGTTGTTGTTGTTAAGTGCCATCAAGCGCTTATCCTACGGCACCATACCAGGATTCCAGTCCATGGTATTATTATTGTTAAGTGTCGTCTAATCGATTCAGACTCATAGAAACCCTGTATAGAGTTTCCAAGGAGTGGCTTGTGAATTTGAACCACTAACCTTTCTGTTCAAAGTGACTTTGTGGTCCAGTGCTTATCCCACAGTGCTACACCAGGTCTCTAATCCATGATAGCTCCCTATTATTAATATTACTTTCAGTATTAATAGTAACTAATAGTAATAACTTAACTCCTTTTATGTTGTTGTTGTTAAGTACCACTGAATCTGTTCTGACTCATAGCGACCCTGTATAGGGTTTTCCAAGGAGTGGCTGGTGGGTTTGAACCACCAACCTCTTTTGATTAGTTTAGTCCAGTGCTTTTCCTACAGTACTATTCCAGGACTCTGAACTCTTTTTATAGAGCATGTCTAATACTAACTTTAATATTAGTTGTAGTCGTTAGATGCCATAACATCGACTCCAACTAATAGCGACCCTGTGCACACAGAATGAAACACTATTGGGTCCTGCCCATTCTCACAATTGTGGCTATGTGTGAGCCCATTGTCGTAGCCACTGTGTCGATGAAGCTTGTTGGAGGGGCTTCATCTTTTTCACTGACCCTTCACTTTACGACCCTAAGCATTAGGTTCTCCAGGGACTGACTGGTACCCCCTGAAAACATGTTCAAAGTACATGAGACTGCTCTAACATTAGACTAATCATCAATCACTTAATTTTATCTGGTTTACTTTGCCTGTTTTCATTATTATTATTCTATATTTGAGGGAGGGGGGGAATCTATTGTGAGAACATTGTCCTGTGAATAGGTGAGGTGCCTGTATCAGAATATTGGTGGCAGGGGTACCTATGATTTTTTTAAGTATCTGCTGAGATATAATTCTCCTATCATAAAATTCTGTCTTATAAAGTAAGCTCAGTGACTTAGTATAAGTATATGCAGAGTTCTATAACCATCACCATAAATGAAGAGTATTTTTGTCTCATCCCCAAAAACAAGCCCCATACCCCTTAGCAGTCATTTCCCATTCCTCTCTTCCCCCAGCCCCTGGCAACCATTGCTGGTTTCTACCTCGGTGGATGTGCCTATTCTGGACATTTTATGTAACTAGAATCATATATTATGTTGACTTTTTTATCTGGCTTTTTCCACCTAGCATAATATTTTCAAGGTTCATCCATGTTGTAAAATGCATTAGTACCTCGCTCCTTTTTATGGCCAAATAATAGCCTATTGTATGGATATAATTTTGCTTATATAGTAATCAGTTGATAGACACTTAGATTGTTTCTATTGTACTGGCGATTTAAAGTAATGCTGCTATGAACATTTGTGTAAACATTTTTGTGTGGTCATATTTTTTTTTTAGGAGTTCTGGTGTAGCGCTGCAGACTAATGCATTGGACTACAAGGTCAGTTTGAACTGCAAGGTTAGTGGTTCAAGCTCACCAACCACTCCTTGGAAACCCTATATAGGGTTGCTGTGATTCGGATCTGACTAGAAGGCACTTGAACAACAAAAACAACAACATATGTTTTTTATTTCTCTTCAGTGTACACCTAGGAAATTGCTCTGTAAAATGCTAACTCTATGTTTAACCTTTTGAGGAACTGCCACACTGTACCATTTACATTCCTTCCCCCAGTGTATGAGGGTTCTAACAATAGTTATTATCTATTTTTCTAACATTATCTATTTTTCAGTCATCTGAATGGATGTGAAATGGTATTTATTACATTTTAGTTTTGATTTATATTTCTCTAAGGTGGCATTTGCTGTTAAGTATCCTTGAGTTGGTGGGTTACAAACTGGGCTGCTAACTGAAAGGTCTGCAATTCAAACCTATCAGCTGCTCCCTGAGAGAAAGATGAGGGTATCAGCTTTTGTAAAGATTCACACAGACTTGGAAACCCAAGGGCACAGTTCTACGCTGTCTTATAGGGATGCTAGGAGTCAGAAGTAACTCGATGGCAGTGGGTTTGGTTTTTTTTATTTTTGGTAATGATTGTTGTTAAAGAGTCCTGGTGTGGCATTGTACAATAAGCACTGGATTGCAAGGTCAGTTTCAATCGCAAGGTCAGTGGTTCAAACTCACCAGCCGCTCCTCGGAAAGCCTTCATGAGGTCACTGTGAGTCAGAACTGACTTGAGAGCACTTAACAGCAACAATGTCAAACATCTTTTCTTCTACTTACAGGAAATTTGTGTATCTTACCTGGAGAAGTGTCATTCATGTATTTTTTTTTTTTAATTGAGTTGTCTTTTTATTGTTAAGTTGTAGGAATTCTTTTTGTATCCTAGATTCAAGTTCCTTATTAGACATTTGATTTGAAACTATTTTCTTCTATTTCATGGGTTATCTTCATTTTCTGCTCAAGTCTTCTGAAACATAAAATTTTGATATAATACAATTTATCTGGTAGCATAGTGGTTACGAGTTGGGCTGCTAACCTCAAGGTCAGCAGTTCAAAACCACCAGTCATTCCACAGGATAAAGATGAGGCTTTAGGCTCCCATAAAGAGTTACAGCCTCAGAAATTGTATTCAGGGTTGCTATGAGTTGAAACCATAGTACACTATTACCACCATCTATTTTTTTGATTGCTGTACTTTTAGTATCGTATCTAAGAAACTGTTACCTAATTCAAGACCATGAAGATTTACACTGATGTTATCTTCTAGGAGTTTTATAGTTTCAGTTCTTTCATTTAGTTCTGTGATGCATTTTGAGTTAGTTTTTGCACATAGTGTGATGTAGAGGTCCAGCTTCTTTCTCTTATGATTTTTATGTTTATCCAAAGGGGCTAATGCTTTATAAGATTAAGATGCTCTACCTGGTCTAGGTAGTGTGACAGAAGATATCTTGCTGTCTATAACTAGCATTTATTGAGCATATTCATAGCCCTTTGGTACCCTGGAGGATACAAGAAGGTTTATACTGTTCTTGTCTTTAAGGATCCTGCCCCATAGTTTGTGAGTATAAAAAGAGGGCTTGACAAGATAGGCTAAGTCGTGTATATGTTCATAGGAAGCTAAATTGAATGAGAAAGTTCCATGAAGAAGGAGAAATTGCTTGAATGGATTGGTTGCCCAGCTGGACTGACAAGAGAATTCCAGAATAGAGTGCACAATATGATTGTAAAATGTTCAAGTGTGGATGACACTGAAGTGGACAGTAGCTACATAGTTGACTGTAGTTGTTTCTGTGTTAAAGAATGGTATATTATAAGGCTGGAAGATAAATTTATGATTATTTATGAAATGTATTGATTTGTAAGATCAACAATTTGGGCTTGATTTTCCGGACAGTGGAATGCCATGAAAGTTTTGGAGTAGGAGAAAACAGGACTAAATAGGGGAGGATAATCCTGCTTACCTTATAAAATGGATTTGAGAGAAAGAAGTTTAAAGAAAGAAAGATTAACTTTACCTAGAGTGAGGTGATTATGATTTGAATTATTGATTATATAGTTCCTTGATATGTGTCTTCTCCCGCTGCCCCATCACTACCATTACCATGATCCTTAACCCTGTTCTCACTTCTCACCTGTGGGGAAGAATTTCCCTTCTGCCATAAGTCCCTACTCCAACCACTTTAACATCCTACACCTGTATCATAGGATTCTAGATCTGGATGGAGCCTCTTAAGCAGCACCTCACTTTATAATGAAGAAAGTGTAGACAGAGTTACTCTAGTCAGTGGCAGAAGTAGCAAGAGCAATGCAGATATTATAGGAAATATAATTGTGCAGCTTCAGATATATATATATATATATATATGTGTGTGTGTGTGTGTGTGTATATATATATATATATATATATTTTTTTTTTTTTAAAGGAAGGACAAATACTTGAATTGATATATCAGGTTTCCAGGCTGGGATATTCTGATTTATTTTAAGCCCACTTATTTTAAAAACTGGCTTCATTTTGTTTCAGATCGCAAGTGAATTGACTGTAATTAAAAAATCTGTTTCCTTTCAGGTCAAGTAAAAAGTGTCAAATCCATCACCTAAGTCGTGATCAGAAAAGACATCCTTCTGAGTATATATTTTGTAAAAGGACACATTTTCTTCAGGTATCTGTAAAGAAAACATATTCATGAAGTGAAGAAAATGGAAGTGGGGCTTTAAAAAACTGTTTTTGTGTGAAATTAAATTACTTTTGTTTTGTTGTACCTTGTATAGCAGGTTTATGCCCAGACTCTTGCCTAACCTCTCCTCCCCAGTGGGCAACTCATGTGAATTCCAGATGCTCCTTCCAGAAAACCCTTGGGTGTGACTCACTTTCAAAAATCGAAAGGAGACTTTTAAAACTATTTGCTGCTGGTGGTGTGCTGTGGAGTTGGTTCCGACTAATAGCGACTTTGATAGGGTTTCCAAGGCTGTAAATCTTTATGGGTGCCTCATCTTTCTCCTGCAGAACCGCGAGTAGTTTTGAACTGCTGACCTTGAGGTTAGCAGCCCAACTTGTAACCACTATGCTACCAGAGCTCCTTTTTAAAGCTAGTTAGAGATTCTAATAATTTTCTGTGTAACTGAGGCAGGAAATGTCTACTCAAATGAAAAATTCTGTTTTAGAAAAGGACTGTTTATACAGGAAAAAAAAATATTCTCCCTCTCCCAAAAGTAAAGTTTATGGAATAACATTCTGTAGCAAAGAAATATTAAGGATCAGGAGGATCAGGGTCCTCTGATTACTTTTTTATGTACAAATTAAAATTCACCAATGTGGGCTGAGTCTGACCAAGTTACATAGACCCTCATCAACGTGGAGTATAATGAGAGCTGGTTGTCCCGAAGTATGGTGAGACCTGGGGACTCCTGAGCCCATGGACAAGGATATGGCCACAGAGGGCTAGAGTTGAGAGTGGGGGAAAAAAAAATTGTTTTTTTTTTTTTTTTAAAAGAAAACAAGTATAATCACTACCATCTGATGAACTTGACCTTGACTTATACTATGGGTATAGTAAAATACCAACCAAGAAGGAAAGAATCTTTACAGCGAGGATCATTTCCATCCCCTCTGTACACAGGGTTGATAGGGATGGGTGACTTAGACATTGTCTACCAAAAATGTCGGGGGTGGGGGGAGGGGGACTGAAAAGGCACAAAGTGACTGGCTTACAAGTTTTCAAGAGGGAGTTTAGATTCAGAGTTTGCGGGGGAGGGTGTGTGTGAGTGGAAGGTAGACTCCCCACTGAGTGGTTATCCTGTCTAGATGGGTCTGGTGAAAGGAGATGGGGATAAGACACTCATGATTCAATAGTGAGTAATTGTTATCATGACTAATTGTGATTGTCGCAACTGTAAAGGTAGAAGTTATGTAGCAAAAAGGGGTGAGTGCTCAATCTTACAGTCCAGGAGTGGAGGATCTTGGGACCATCAAGGGAGAAGAGCGAGAGAAAAGAAGTGGAGATGCCAGAGATGGAGGCAGAGATGATGATATGGAGAGATGGAGCAGCTGAGGACTCTAGACTCATGGAGGGAGAGGGGATGTGTCCTGGTGGCTAGGGGGCAGGCTTGTAGAGTGTGCCCTTTGGCTGTTTGAATGATTGTATATTCCTGAGTGTTTTGGTGCACATCCAAAACAACCCAAAAAACAGAGGGAATAGAAGCAAATACTATTGAATGATGAGGAATGCAGGGGATTGTAATCATTACAATGAAACAAATACGATAAGATGAGTATAAAACTGATGTTCCCCCATGTAAGCTATCATTCAATTCACAATAAAAACTTAAAAAAAAATAATTTACCTATAAGGTGGTACATAGTCTATGAGTAACCCCTCCCCTTATTTCTTTATGGCTTACTTTGTAATTAACTAACTTCTCTAGTTTTATGAGGTTGAGTCAAAAAGTATCCATTGCTGAGAGCCTGCCCTGGCATACTTATTTCAGGTTTTTTTCCGAAGACGTCTGCGGCGTCGGCGATAAGGGATTACATGGAGTCATGGGTCATCATACATTCAAAATCTTCTTATTACATGCTTTATTCTTCTCATTTCTATACTACTTTACTACTCTACTTCTCTCATTCTTTACTGCCCTGCTCATTTTTTACCCTCCTGCTCATTCTTTTCTCTCCTGCTCTCCTGCTCATCTCTTCTGCTTCTCTCCCTTCCTCTGCTCCTGCTTTCATTCTTTTCTCTCCTGCTCATCAATTCTGCTTCTTTACTAGCTTCCCCTCCCTCCATTTCTGTACTGTCTCTTTCTCTACATTACTTTTATTCTTTTTCTTTCTACACTACTACTCCTAATTATCTACATTACTACTTTCACTACTCCACTCCCCTACTTCTTCTCTATATTACTCCCTCTATCCTCCCTCCATTCTTGTCTCGTCTCCTCTCCACCTCATATCCCTTCTTCTCTCCCTACTTCTTTCTGCTTCTACTTACTTCTCTCACTCTTGCCTCTACATCTCTTACCTCTCTCCTTTTTTCTACTCCTTTCTTCTACGTCTTTGTTCTATCTTATAACCCCCTTGTATACCATTACAGAAAACATTGCATTCATAGTAATCAATAACATCAAGGTACAATCTATCTTGGGGCACATTCCTCATGGTTTACAATTCTTAAATTTATAACAGGGTTGAGAAGTCACAGTAAAGACATTATCTCAAGGCATAGGAGACATTCAGGTGCCTTGAAACCTTTTAAACATTTGTTCCTACATAAATCTGTTCTTTTCTCTGAGAAGCAAGTTAACCTTTACATGTTTCTTGACCTTTGTTAGTCAAATCTTAAGCCATTAAGCCTAATTGTCAGGTGCAATTTACACTTCCTTAACTTCCTCCAACAGAAACATCCCTTCTCAGGAAAGCTGAGGCTATCAAAACAATTCCCCTATTTTACTTATCAGACTTCTTATTTATATAACTGTAGATTCTCACAACCCTTATCTATAGTCTAATTATTTTTTTGAAATTCTTGTACCCACAGCACTTATTTATGGTTTATTCTCGTTTAGGATTCTTTATTGCCTTAAACTAAGGCTATAAGGAAGAATGTTTACAATCACTCAACCTAAGCTGGCAGTAATTCAATTGACAAATCCTGCCTCCTAGCAGTCTTAAGAACATTGTTAATATAAGTATTAAAACTACCTAAGATTATAAGTAGAATAAAATGTAGCTAATGTGTGGCTTCTAACTTTTAATAAAAATATACTAAAGTGTAGGAGAGTCAAAGATCTAAAGTAAAAAAGGATACTAATAAAATCATGAATAAATCAGAGAATGATTTAACAAGAAAAAAATTTAACTAGGGGTCTGTGCATAGAAATAACTTTGCGGCTCTGCCATGCAAAGAAAATCATTCATCATAGCTCTGCTAAAACAATGACTTCTTCTATGTCCAGGTTTCCCCATGTCTCAATTATTTAATTCCTCGATTAATATGTCTCAATTTCTTCATTTTTATTCCTTAATTAATTATGGCTGTTGTCAATCCATACTCTGGCTGTAAAATTTATTTTAATTAACTTTTAGAAAAGACAAACATATTATTTTTTTTGACAAAACCTCCTTGCTTTGTGAGTACACTTTGTCTGTCAACAAACTTTCATATTTCCTTATTAAAAAATGTGTTAGGCTGAGCTGTGATCCACAAATGCATCACTATATTCATTTCTGCATCAGAGGTGATACTTTGTCCACAAAGGGCTGCTTTCAGGGGACCAAACAGGGGAAAGTATGATGGAGCAAGATCAGAACTATAGGGAGGATGTTTTAACACCTCAAAAGGAAGTTTTTGCAGAATGTTAACAGTGTGGGCAAAGATGTGCATTACCATGCAAGATCACAATGCCTTGGGATAGCAATCCTCTGTGTTTAATATGAAGTTCAGACTTCAGCTCTTCAGTGAGCAACTCACTGTAACAAGTGCTGTTGATTGTTGAACATTTTTCCTGATAGTGTACCAATACTAGCCCTTGAGAATTCCAGAAAACTGTAAGCATCAATTTTCCAGCTGATGGTCAACTTTTGAACTTTTCTTGGTTAGCAATTGAGGATGTTTTCATTCCATACTCTACCGTTTACTGTCACATTCATAGTGATGAATCCCTGTCTTGTCACCAGTAATGATTTTTTAAAAGAAACTTTGACCTTCCTTCAAGTATCAGTTGAAATTTTATTTGCAGATGTCAACGTTCACACCTCCACATCAGTAATCTTGAATGGAAAATGTTGATAAGATCATGCAGCCAACAGAAGTTTTATTATTATCAGAGTATGAATAAATTTTTATTCATCTTTGTATATTGATAAGATTTCCTCTGTTCTGTAATTTTGGTAACTAGACTGCATGCCATTTTCTTCCTGTTCTGGTTTATTTTTTTAAATTGTTATTTTATCATTTTTATCTTTTAAATGCTAGAGATGGTCATATTGATGATTTAGAAATTTTCTCTCCGACTTCCCTAGGTTATCTAATAAAGTCCTGAAACTTCTATTCTTTCTAGAAACATTACTATTTCAAACTGCATACTGATAACTGCAAGAAAGGTTCCACATTAGTTTAGAGATTGCCAAGCAAATTCAGTTGTATGGAATGAAAACAATATACCTATAAGGCCAGCTAATTATTTATTATGGCTCTTCTAGCCAAATTTCTCCATTTTATGATATATTGATATCCTAACCTCTGTGCCTGTGATTATGGACCCATTTTTAAATGACTTGCACAGGGGTAAAGATTTACGGTGGGGTTAAGGAGTAAAGAGTCTGGTTGTTGTTGTTACATGCCGTTATTGCTACTCAGCGACCTTGTATAGGATTTCCAAAGAATGGATGGTGAATTTGAACAACTGACCTTGTGGTTCACAGTCCAATGCTGATCCACAGTACTAAACTGAACTAAGTATTAAGAATTCCCCCACCTTACTAGAGGTTGTGACTCAAGTCACCACTCTATGTTTCCCTTGGGAACATGGTCTGACTTCAATTTATAAGATTGCTTTGGAAACGCTTGTTCTCTCTTGTCCTGGATCTTGCATCTGGCTCATGT